AGTTAATGAATGTACCTGCATTCCTGAACACTTCTTGTTCCCCAAAATGACACCGGTGTTCCTCAGAAAATCTCCACCCCATCCTGGCAGCACCACCAACGCTGCAGGAGAACAGATTTCTGGAGAGAAGTTTTGAAGCCTGTTGTTGGGTTTGCTACTCGCCACCATCATATTTAAAATAGGTTTGAGGATCAAACCACAAAACCTGTTCAGTTATGTCTTATCTTTAAATATTTTCCAAGATACAGTCGATTTGAATTTAAGAGACCAGAGAGACCTTTATCTCTCCATACCTCGATTATTGCCTTTTCACTTGCCTTGACCAAAAGTCATTTAATCAGCTACTGACTGGACAGAACGTATAACCAGAGCCAAGAGACGTGACTACATCATACCTGTTTTACTTTTCTTAAACTAGGAAATACCACCTTAAATAAATCTTATTGATTCCTTTAAGGCTGTTTCATGCATAAACAGTTCAAAGTGCTTTACAGGGAATAAAATACTTTAAAATAATAAAATATAACAATAAATATATAACCACACACACACACTCACATGGGTAATTTAGAGTCTCCAGTCAGCCTAAGCTGCATGTCTTTGGACCGTGGGAGGAAGCTGGAGAGAACCCACACAGGCACAGGCAGAACATGCCGACTGCCTAGGCTTGAACCTGGAACCTTATTGCTCTGAGGCAACAGTGCTAACCACTGATCCACTGTGCCCCCCTAGAAAAAAAATCATTAAGATAAAAATTCATTTAAAAATTGGATTAAACAGACGTTTACATTCACATAAATGAACTGTAAAGATAAGAGGGGTTTACTTCGGTAGATGGAAGTATAGAGAGTTACTTCAAGCTAATCTGCCAAAAATAAAAGCAGGTGTCAGTTTACCAGGTCATGTCTAGACACCAACTCTCTGATTCTGCTAATGTCTTTCAAAAGATAGAAGACTGACTTCACTACTGACTTTACTCGACTGGTAAATCTAAGGTTGGACTCTAGTACGACACCCCGATTTCTTACAGTACCACATAAAATACTGACAAATACCATCCAGGTATTTAGCAGATTTCCTACACGCCATCCCCCACCATCTAACATCAGTCACATCAGTGGTTATCTTTGTTGTATTGTGCAAGAACAGACCAGTTTGGAAACTGTTTGTTTGTTACTTTGTGTCCAGGAACTCGACTCAGAGCATAAGAGAAATCTGTGTGTAAGTCCAGACCACTTGTCAGTGTTGTGTTTATCTACAAAGATTTTGAAAGTGAGAAAATGGAAATGATCAGCCAGAAACTTTTAACATGTTTACATACACACCAGTGTCCTTTGAGGCTTTTTACACCCAGTATCCTGTAGCAAGTGCAGCTGGATCCCTTTGTTTGGGAGTAAATGCTGAACGTTGAGGGTCATGTTTTGGCTACAAGCTTGTGTGTTATGGCTCCAGTTTGACCTTTGCTACAGGGATCCATGTTAGAGAGGTAGCAGCCCTCCACCTGACGACCCGAGAGGCTGCAGGCTTCCAAAACCGAGCGCGGTTGTGAAATATTGATGCATTTCAGTGAGCAGTTCTGTTCAAGTTAGATCGTCTCCTCGCAACAACACAAACCAAGCCCAAGCAGTGCAACGGGGCTGTGTGTGGTTTCTAGTTTCACAGCTGTTCTGGTTCAGGTGTGTGTTGACACAGAGATACTGTGTGTCCAGTTTGGTCCTTGAGAAATGAGTCCGAAGCTTTGTCTGTAACAGAAAAACTGCTTGAATATCATCTATTCACAGATAAACTGGAAGGCCAAACAGACTTTCCCAACTTTAAACTGTGTAGAAATGAAATATTAAGGTTGGAGGATAAGTGGGTATAGAAAACGGTTAGTTTAAGTGTTTACTTCTCACTACTGCTTAATGATCATATATTTATAGAAATGGGTTTTTATGTACTTTGATTTAGAGAATTAGAGAAATATGCTCCTGTTCATTTTAAGGATTATTCTTGTGTTGTTGTTGTTTTGTTTATCTTTTCTCTTTGTTTTATTTGTTGCATGTTCACAATAAATCCAACCTGATCACTGGATTTGAGTTTTTACATCATAATGGCTTATTGAAAGTTTCATCTAGCTGCCTTCTCTAATGCACATGGGAGTCCTGAGAGTTAAATACGTAGCCATTCTGGGGGGAAACAATAAGACCACCGGGACTGATGTATTGTTAGTGACAACACGACTCTGGCCCGTGAGCCTCCTGATGCAGAGATGCGATCCTGTCAGGTGCCGCCACGATGGCGTTTTGCTTTTTGCATTTTGTCTGATGCTCCCAAACTTAATCCCCTGGTAATAATTATCACCATCATGTCCAGTTCAATTCATTTATGACTTTTTCTTCTTGTTTTTTGTGTTAATAAACTTCAGTGGGGTTGAAATCTATGAATTTATTATTTTCACTTAAACAAATGGAGCCTAAACTGTCAGAAGTGGTTCATTTAAAGTGTGTAACACGTCCGCGTGTGTGTTCACCACTGCAGGTCTGCGCCACGGCCTGGGCCAGCTGACCTTCAGCGACAGGACATGCTACACCGGACAGTTTGAGAACGGCCTGTTCAACGGCTGTGGGGTGCTGGTTTTCCCAGACAGCTCCAGGTGTGTCTCTCTCTACCTGACCTTTGACCTTTTAAAATAAACTCACTTTTTAAAACTCGATCTAAGACGACAGTAGCTGAATTCATCTCTTTGTTTCATCTTTATTCAGAAAGTTGCTCTAAAATAAAGTGGAATATTGTTAACATAACCTG